GTGATAGTGGTAGATCTCCCCTATGACCGACTGATTCTGGGTATAGACATACTCAGAAGACTTAACACAATTATTGACTGTGTGAATGGAATTGTATGGTCACAAGCTAAGGTTCCCATAACCTATGAGAGATCACATGTACAATCTGATCGTAACTGCCATGTGATAGAAGAAAGACCTGACTCGATTGAGGTACATTTTAGAAATAGTCAGTCACCTGACGTGACTATCCTGCAGGTGAATGATGCAATCGCACCTGTAGATGAGCATTCCATAAGAATTGCTCCAGAGAGGATCCAGAATGTCTCTCTGGAAGGTGATGTTTTAACCATTTCTCTCCACAGGGACTATGTTGAATCTGTAGATCTGGCAGGTCATGCTCAATTCCTTGCCAGAATTGAAAGGGTTAATAACAACTTATTCTTTCCTATTCAAATAAATGGCTTAGGAAGAAGTAGGAATGCAAAGCTTTGCCATACACCTTGATCTGATTAATTCCAATTTGTGGACAAGGTTAAAAGGTAATCCTTGTGGATACCTTCACGAGGAAAACGCCCTGAAATCAGGACAAATACTCCCATATGCGGTAAGTATCCAAGTTCCTGATGACATAACCATTCTACAGGGGACAAGTAACTTTCTTTTACCCCTACAGGTCAAGAAGGGTCAGAGATTAGAAAACTCTGATGCCCTAATCTGTTTATCCAACAGGATACAACTATTAGGGATGGTGGTAACACATACACCAATGGTAAGTATTGGTAAGGATCCCACCTATATCATGGTCAACAATGTTACATCCAATAGTGTTACTTTACCAAAAGGAACATTATTAGGTCTAGCATTGGATGCTGAGTACTATACATTTGGTTTCCAAAACCAAATTATAGGCCTCATCCCTGAAGAATACTTAACTGAGGACGAAATTGTCGATCAAATATTCCATTCCTCCCCAGAAGGATTATTCACTATCCTATCTGTATATCCCTTCAACGTTGAAGAAGGCTCGTGTAAAATCGAAGAAGCATCAATCACCTTCGATCATCCGCTCAATGAGCAGGAATCACAAGAGTATCACGACCAAAGAGAAAAGGTAAGTCAACACCGAACTGACCTAACTTCTAGGCTTGAAGAAGCTTATGAGATAGGTCAGCCTGAAATCTTTCCAGGATTTCAGGAAAGGCTAGAAGAGCAAATATCTTTAGCTGACGGTTGCTCCAACGATGCTGAGCGGCAGCAGCTAAAGGAAATCCTTTTGGAATTCCAAGAGATTTTTGCCAAAGATTCCTACGACTGTGGGTTAACTAACCTCCACGTAGCCAGAATACAAACTGATCCAAATTTACCACCTGTATTTATCAAACAATATAGACTCCCATTAGCGTCATATGATGGTCTACAAGACATAATTCAGAATTTAAAGGAAAGGGGCATTATACGTCCGGTGCACAGTTCGTATAATAATCCGATCTTGGGGATTCTGAAACCTAATGGACAATGGCGTTTATGCGCTGACTTACGACAGCTAAATAAACGCGTCTATATGTCTGGTTGGCCAACGCCATACATAGACCAATGTTTGGTACAAATGCAGGGATCCAAAATATTCACTGCCATTGACTGTGCGCAGGGATATTGGACTGTACCAGTCCATAATGAAGACCAATACAAATTGGCCTTCACATTTGGAAAGCAGCAGTATACCTGGACCCGTATGCCTTTCGGTTATATAAACTCTGGTCATGAATTCGCTGTGTTCATGCATAAAGCTATGCCTGACGCACTCGAGAGAGGAACGTTATCATATGTCGACGATGTCTTGCTGAAAAGCACTTCCTTTGATAAGCATATCTTAGAGATTAGACATGTTCTCACTCAGTTAAGAGAGGCAGGGATTAAACTGTCTTTACAAAAGGCGCAATGGTGTCGCACCCATGTCAATTTCCTCGGACATGAGGTAACTTCTGAAGGATTAAATCCCCAGAGGAAGAAGGTTGAAGCCGTACTAAAGGCTAAAACACCTTCAAACATCAGGGAATTAAGATCGTTCCTTGGTATGACTAATTACTCCCGTAAGTTTATAGATAACTATGCAGAAATAACTAAACCACTCTTACACCTGCTTAAAAAGGAAACTACCTGGAACTGGGGGGAGCCTCAGGACCAAGCGGTAAGTGAACTGAGGAGGAAGCTCACTCAGGCACCCTGTTTAGCATACCCAGAGGGGGGTAAACCCTTCTATCTGGAGACAGGATATACCAATTTAAGCATAAGTGCTGTACTGTATCAGAAGCAGGACAGTTTAAACAAAGTTATTGCATATGCTAGCAAGACTTTGTCACCTGTTGAAGTTAAATTCAACACGTGTGAGAAGGCGTTATTGTCGATTGTATGGGGACTACAAAATTTTTGTAGCTATATCCAAGGTGAGAAAATAATTGTAGAAACAGCTCACCAACCTCTACAGTATCTGCAGAGTGAAAGAATTAGAGACGGTAATCTCTCTAACAGTCGGATTACTGCATGGACTCTATCCTTACAGGGATGGCCGTTAGAAGTCCGTTATAAACATAATAAGAGAAGCCCAGTTGCCCAAGGTTTAGCAGAATTACATGACTGTACTGCTCCATCTCTGGATGATAATGACACCGGAGATGACTTCCTAGAAGAGCAATTGCTATCTCCTTATAAAGTTTATGACGAGGAATACTGTCGACCACTACCGTGGGTATACATTGATGGTTGTTCATATCACCACGTCGTTGGTGCTGAACGGAAGTTAGTTGCAGGTATCGGAATCGCCTGGATAGGTGATTATCCCAATGTATCTATAGGATACAATATTGGTCCCAAAAGCAGTCAGATAGCCGAACTCTGTGCAGTATATAAGACCATTCAAATGGCAATAGAATATGGTATCAAAGAATTTGTTATTATAACTGATTCCAACTATGTTCGCAACAGTTTCGTCGAATATCTGCCTAGCTGGAAACGTTACCAAATGCTGAAAAGCAATAACAAACCTGTTAAACATGGGAAATTGTTTTGTAAAATCGATGAGTTGGTTAAGGAAATTGGTTTAACCATATATTGGAAGAAAACCAAAGGCCATTCTAAAATAGAAGGTATTGACAAGGATGGTAATGACTTAGCCGATTCACTGGCAAAACAAGCTGCCATCAATGGTGAAACCCTAAACATTGATGATCTTATGGGTTCAATTCATGTTGAAGCCATAACTAGACGACAGGCTAGAGATAATGCCGACTTAAACGTCGTGCAATGGAGTCAAGAAGCTCCTAGTGAGGACCTGATTACTAGTCAAAAGAATGATCCCGTCATAGGCATATTCTATAAACATATAGAAGACCCTACTGCCAATCCCATCACAGATGAGGATTGCAAAGATAATGAAGATTTACGAATCTTGATGAGATATAAAGTCCAATTTAGTATCATGGATGGGTTACTGGTCAGAACTTCTAAACATGGTATACAACAATGGGTAGTCCCAACTGTATACAGAGGGTTAATGCTCCAACACGCACATGATGCACCTACATCTGGGCATCGTGGTGATAAGATCACATATGAGATATTGCGTGATTATGCATATTGGCCACACATGTTAAGGGATGTTAAGACATACTGTCAGGGATGCTTGATTTGTCCGCAATATCAACCCCATGGTCCAACCCATCGTGCACCACTTCAGAAGAGGGGGGTGTCATTACCCTGGTCTGATATTCAAATTGACTTTATAGGTCCTGTAACAAGATCTTCAAGAGGTAACAAATACATGTTAACCGTTACATGTATGTACACAAAGTGGATAGAATGTTTGCCTTGTAAAGAGAACACGAGTACCGTGTGCGCCACTTTGTTGATTAACCATGTCTTTTCCAGGTTCGGTCTGCCTCAAAGAATTGAGTCAGACAGAGGTAGTCACTTTACCAGCGAAGTAATGGCTAAGATGTGGAACATTCTAGGTGTTAAACGAAAGCTACATATTGCATACCGCGCTGCGTCTAGCGGGGGGGTAGAGCGATATAACCAGTCTATCGTTAATATTCTGAAGAAATATGTTAAGGAGTCTGGTAAAGACTGGGACATTAAATTGCCCCTAGTTTTAATGGCGATTAGAGCTACACCTAGCACTGCTACCAAATTGTCACCTTTTGAATTGATGACAGGAAGAAAGATGGTTTTACCACAGCATTTACTATATCGTACTTCGGATCATAACTTGATCAATGCTGCCACTACGCATCAGTATATCGAAGATTTGCGCAAGCATTTACAGCATGCATTTGCTTTTGCCCAAAAGAATCTAGAAAAAGCAGCGACAGGGGTTAAGACCTATTACGATTTAAAAACCACGAAAAAGGAATATGAGATAACAGATCAAGTCTATCTGTATAACTTTGCGCGAAATCAAGTCAAGGAAAAGAAATTTTTACCTTCTTGGAAAGGGCCATATGTCATCATTGACAAAATTTCCCCAGTAGCGTATAAGATAAAAATTCCTAAGGATGGTGATTTTATTGAAAAGTGGGTTCACATTAACCAGTTGCGTGCTTGTCATCCTAAATCTCAATTAAGGATTATAGGTGTGGATTCAGACGCAGAAGGGTGAACGACTAACCTGGATGAATGCTTGATTCACGTGGTATAGTATGATGTGAATTGTTGTGATGTGCCATGATCTCATGTACGTTCATGTCATTAACCATTTCCTTGCCATCCAATAACTACATTTTCTAAGCAGGTTACTAGCTTGTTTAACTGCTATAGGCGAATTACTGAAGAGTCAGTAATAAATGTAGTGAGGGATGAAGTTATAAAAATAGAATTAGAGTGAATACATATGTTGATGAATCGTAATAATGTGTTGTCCTAGGCCAAGTGATGTCACACTGTTATAAGTTTGTATGCTTAACAAACCTTGAATCATTAGTAGATAAGTCTGAAACGAGTTCCTGTTCCGTGACTGTCGAAAGATGTCCTATAAGGATGTGGCGTGTTTCTGGATCGTACAGCTCCTGTGCCAAGAGCTACGGACCGACCCGATCGCAGAGATGGGACCATCCTCCGGCATCCTGATTCAAGAGACACCAGGGTTCATCTTAACAGAGAAGAGGATCCTGACCCGACGTGTGTTCGTCAGCTTGGACCCCAAGATTTCCATCGAGAAGGCATACAACATTTCATCGATGCAGCTTCCTGAGTTACAGACTTGGTACCAGATGCACCTCCAAAGAGCACAGGACCGTGTGCGAAACATCTTGGAGCAAGCCCAGAAACCATTTGTATCCAGTTCTATTCCGATGAGCAACCGACCCAAAAGGTTCCTCACCGCTATAATTGTTGCATTAGTTTGTGCCACTGTCGGTGCAGTTGTCGCAACTGGAATGTCTGCAGCCAACTCTATTACTGTCCAAAAGCTGGATATGGAAATCTATGCGCTAAAGCAACACATAAACGATATTCATCAGGTGATAAACAGCAAAGAACACTTCTCCAAGACGTGTTAACTATTGTGGAAGACACAGTTGTTACAACAAATTTGCATTCGGAGTTAATTGCCAAATCCACTGAGCTGCACCAAAGTCATGACTTATTTAAGCGTGAACTTCTATTTCTGCATGACCCAATATTGTTCCACACACTTGCTTTTCTCGACGAAGTGCAAACTGGAATGATCGAATTGGCAGGGGGACGTATACCTCTGTATTTTGTATCCAAGGATATTGTTCATGCGATGCTTGCCAATATGGATGGAGAAAACAATTGAGCCTATGCAATTAAATCTGGCCTTTGAGATGGGGAGTGCTATACCTCTCTTAATTGATCCGGAACGTATGGAGATTTGCTTTTTATTGGCCATATCATATGTAACTCCCAAAGACATTTTTCAAATGAAAACAATGTACTATGTTAGAAATGATGTGATTGCACAATATGTCTGATAACTTCTATAGTGCTTATTCATAAGCTAAATTAATTTTTAATGAAATGCACTAAAGGGGGGTTATGTCAGGGTATTTATATCGGCAGACATTTTGTGCTATGATAGAAACTAAAAGTGTATATTCTGAGTCACTCTGAACAGACCAGACTCCATTTTGTTATTTTCAAGTTAACAAAAAGACACAAGATTTCTTTCTGTAAGACTAGCCACTTTGCCAGAGCTAAAAGGAATGCATAGTATAAACAAGTGATAAGAAGAATATAATCAATTCTAAACCCAGACAATTGTGACAGAGAAGATTAAATAATACAATTTAACTGTCTATACATATAAGGTCCCATTGTAAATTACGGGTCAAAACTCAGATTGCCAGACACATAGTCTGGACAAAACTTAAATAAACCCTTTGATCTGTGAAGGATACGTAAGTTACGGCCACTATCTAGATAGGCCAAAATGACATCAAAATAGCCACCAGGAAAAGTTAACTCTTTCCTGGATAGGTATGTTTAGTGGGACAAGACTGCCCTCTATAGACTAAATACCTAAATTGCGTTCTGGAAGATAACTACACCTCTAGTGCTTCTATTGGGTTATCAACTGATGACGTACAGAGAGTCTGGCCCTTTAAAAGTTAAGACAAAGGGGATGCAAGGGATGCAGGGTATGCAAAGGAGAAAGAAAAAGAGGAGAGAGGAATTGGAAGTTTGGGGACTCCAACCTCCATGCAGAGAGACATCCAAATAAGTTCCTGAGACTACCAATCGGATGAAATATCTACTCAACTGGTAATTATACTGGTTTCATTTAATTAATTCAATTAATTCAAATGTATTAATTGCATTATATATGACTGGATAAAGCACGGTCAGATTTCCATATTAAGAAATCTTAGTTAACTAAAGAATATATAGTTATAAACATTCCATTCTGCAGGTGGAATTAAGAATAATGATATATTGATGTGATATTATCACGTGTTAGCATACCGTTGTTTTTATCCAGGTGTATTGATTTGCTCTAAATTAAGATAAGATATCTTTTAGACAAATTAAATTCTGCTCATATAATATGGTAGATTCTCTTATTGGATGGTTCCAGGAAATGACTAATGAACTGGTTTAAATGTTATTTTATTTAAAATTACATAAGAATAGATCTTAATTACCTAGGAGATCTAGCCAGCATTGAAAGGGTTATTCTAACTGTCAGCTAAACTTTACGACCTTACGCTGCACTCTGAGGAATTCTGTTCTTCGCTGTGAAAAGTTTCACTTTCAGTCTGTGTTAAAGATAGTCATAAATAAAGTCTTGACAGGAAATGCTATTTAGCCATTGAAACGTAATACCCATTCCTTTGTATTGCATATCATTTTATACTGGATATTCATTGATTATTGTCATGCATGTTGCATAATATTATTATTAATTAATTTGTCATTATAAATAAAAATCTATTTTTATAAAATTGTGTATATTATTTATATGAAATACTTTCACTTAACACGATAACGATATTTGGGATCTGAGAATTGAATTAGTGGGCAATTCTCAACTGTTACTATTATTATCCCATAAATATCCCCACAGGAGTTTCGGGCCATCCCAGACGAGGATATTGGCAATTACAGTGTGGTAAAGGAAGCTCTGCTGACTCGGTATGCTGTCACACCGGAGGCATACCAGAGGTGATTTAGAGACACAAACAAGCTGCCAGGCGATTCTTACACCGACTGGGTATGCTGAGTACACCGCACCGCAGCCCACTGGGTTGCTGGATGTCAAGCCGTTTCTGGGGAAGAGGTGCTACAGCTATTCCTACTAGAACATTTATTTGATAAACTGTCCCCAGGAGTCAGAGAATGGGTTCGGGACCGCACACCCTCCACTATGCCGGAAGCTGCCCGCCTGGCAGATGAGTACACAGATGCTCGCAAAGTGGATAGCTCTGTTGCCAAAGTCACCGCTCGGGTGGAATATCGACAACCAGCACCCCCTACAGCTGCCGCCTACTAACCCCCTATCCCGCACTCCAACAGCCAATTATGCCCAGCAGTCCAGGTTCAATTCACAGGACTAATCCGAACCCATCCGGTGCTATAGGTGCAAGCAGCTGGGAAACAAAAAGCCAGAGTGCCCATTGAACACAGCCAGGCAGTCACAATCCTGGCGGAGGCCAGCCGGAAGAAATTCCTGCAACCCCCTGCCTGCTGCCCATTGCATCGAGGAGGAGGAATGTTGGGGCATACTGCATGAGGCCAATCCTGTTCAAGTGGCCCACTGACAAAACAGGCAGCAGAAAGGTCACCCGAGGACAGGCACCCCTCTGACAGCCCCCCTACCGTATCCCTGAAGCAGTCCGAGGGAGATACAGGAGATGACCCAGCTAGGGGTCATCGAACACTCAGACAGCCCTTGGGCCTCGCCTGTAGTCCTGGTGCCTAAAAAAGATGGGACCACCTGGTTCTGTGTGGACTACAGGCGACTCAACAAGAAGACTACCACTGACGCCTACCCAATGCCCCGGGTAGACAAATTACTTACGGGATACTGGCACCACCATGACCATGCTACAAAAGAACCTGGTGTCTGAGAGCAAGCACACCGGGGAAACGGTAGCCGAATGGCTTACGGGATACTGCCGCCACCATGACCCTGCTACAAAAGAGCCTGGTGTCTGAGAGCAAGCACACCGGGGACACGGTAGCCGTAAGGATAGCAGGAGGCACTGTCTTCCGCCTGCCTGTTGCCCATGTACATTTGGATTGGGGGGTAGGCTGCGGCCATGTGAACATGGGGTTGATGAAAGACCTACCAGCCGATGTCCTTTTAGGAAATGACTAGGCTCCCCTTGTTTCTGCCTACTCCCCAATGGGTCCCGCTGAAGTTAACCCCGTGACGACCCGTGCTACTGAAACCGGCCTGCCTGCTGCTGAGACCCAGATAAGACTCTCTCCCCCGACTTGTACCCTTGAACAGGCCCCCTTAGGCTGGGATACCCCAGAGGCATTTGGGAGGGAAACCCGGGAGGATTTGACCCTGTGCAAGTATAGGGCTAAGGCAGATGCCCAGGAAGAGGGGGTAGATGGGGAACGTTATGAGTGGGTGGGGGATAGGTTGTATAGAATCCCTAAACCTTCACCGAAAAGTAATGCCCCTTCTCAGAATCGACAGCTGGTGGTGCCTGCGAAATACCGGCAGGTCATTCTGCGAATTGGGCACGATGTACCATTAGCAGGACATCTAGGGTCCCGTCGCACAGCACATAGGATAACCCAAAATTTCTTCTGGCCCAATTATAATCAGGCTGTGCGACAGTATTGTAGTACGTGTGACACATGTCAACAGGTAGGTAAACGGGGGAACCACTCTAAGGCTAGACTCATGTCTATGCCTTTTATTGGGGAGCCCTTTTCCCGTATAGCTGTTGACATTGTGGGTCCACTTGCCAGGGATAGTCCATCCGGGAAGACGTATATTCTTACCGTGGTGGACTATGCTACCTGTTACCCAGAGGCAATAGCTCTGTCTAATATTGAGGCAGAGACAGTAGCTAGTGCCCTGGTTAACATTTACGAGAGTTGGGTTCCCTAAGGAGATCCTCTCCGACTCAGTTTACCGCTGTGCTCACCCAGCAGTTGTGGAAGGTGTGCAATATTAAACCATTGCTTAGTTCACCTTACCACCCTCAGACTAAAGGTCTCTGCAAGTGCTTTAATGGCACCCTCAAACAAATGGACGCCTGCAGAAACTGGGAGCGATTCCTGCCTCATCTGTTATTTGCATACAGAGAGGTGCCCCAGGAATCTACTGGGTTCTCTCCCATCAAGTTGCTATATGGGAGAAAGTTCTGCAGACCCCTAGATCTCATTAGAGTACACTGGGAGGGAGAGACAGAGCAGGAGGGGACCCCCATAGTACCATATGTTCTGGAACTCAGGGATCGCATGTAGCAACTGCATGATGGTCACATGATGGTAAGAGAGAACCTTTAGGTGGCCCAGGGGAGACAGAAGAGGTGGTACGATCGGGGTGCCCGGCAGCAGGTCTTCCAGGTTGGGCAGAAGGTCTTAGTGCTCAAGCCTGTGAAGACAGACAAGATGCAAGCATCTTGGCAGGGACCATATAAAGTGGTAGCTCAGGTATGTGATACTATCTATGTTATAGCCAGCTGTGCAGATGAAAGGATCCAGCGATCCTTTCATGTGAACATGCTGAAGGAGTATCAGGAGAGACAGGAGAATGTCGCTGCAGTGTGTGCCCCGGCTGCAGACGACTGAGAGCCTACCTCTCCCTGACCTACTAGAGAAGGACCCCAGACTGACCTTATTAGTCTCGTACAGCTAGGGGACCGGTTGAGCCCCACAGAGAAGGTACCGACGAAGCAGCTTCTGTGGGAGAAGCAGGCGAGGTTTGCCCAGGAGCCCAGCTACACAACCCTAGCTGTACACAAGGTAGAGACCCTAGCTGTACACAAGGACAGGCACCCCTATGACAGCTCCCCTATCGTATCCCTGAAGCAGTCCGAGAAGGAATGAGGAGGGAGATACAGGAGATGACCCA